TCATTTTATTTTTGGGGACAGGGTCTCACTGTGTTGTCTTGAACTCACCCTCCAGCCCAGTCTGGCCTTAAACTTGTGGTCCTTCAGTACTATCTCCTGAATAGCTGTGACTACAGGCCTGCCCACCAGGCCCTGCCCTCTGTCTTCTGTCTTCTGTGCATAGTTCCTTTGTAGCCTAACTTATCCTTCATCCTTTTGATTGAGGTGTAATTGATAAAACGTAAAAGGTGTCCACCTAAAGTTTAAAACATGCACAGTGTTGTACAGCCATCACCATTATATAATTCTAGACATCCCTTATGCTCTAGGCAGTCATTCTACTTCCTTCAGTCTCTGCCAGTGGAAAACAGTAATCTATTTCTTGACACTACAGAATCATCTAATCTGCATATTTCATGTAAGTGGAAACATACAACTTGTAACTGGATTCTCTCACTGAACGTAAGGTTTTTAAAGTTCACCACGTTGTAGAATATGTCAGTGTACCATTCCTTTTTGTGGCTGAGTAATATTCTAGTGTATGTCTTGTTGAAGCATTCGTGTGATGATGGCTACTTGCATCAATTGTACTTTGTAGCTCCTGTGAGCAGTGCTGCTATGAACACTCACTCATGTGGACACTTGTGAATATATCAGCTGTCTTGGGTAGACCTCTAGTGGGGGGAGTGTTGGATCCTGCTGTAGCTTTTTACTTTGAGAAGCTCTGGCTATTTTCCCATTCCAAATATTTATCTGGATCTATCATAGACATTTTGGATGGTTGTTTCTTACCAGAAAGATCAAGGGTGACTCCTGCCTTAGTGTGGCGGGCCATCAAGTCCTGCGAAGGATCTGGGGAATGGAGCTGTTGTGAGCCAACTGGCAATCTTGGCTATCCCCTGGTAGAAGGAAAAAGCAAGGGATGAGAGTTTCACCTGTATTGGCTAGTTTAAACTTCATGGTTAAGGGCACTGGCTGCTTTTGCAAAAGACCAGGTTCTAGTCCCAGCACCCATATGGTGGCTCACAGCCATCCTTAGCTCCTGTTTAAGAATACCCAGTGCCTTCTTCTGGCCTTCACAGCACCAAGCACACATGTAGTACACTTACATACAAGCAGTAAACATTCATACACAGGAAAAAATACATATATTCAAAAACCCACTATATATATATATATATATATAGTGGGTTTTTGAGACAGGGTTTCTCTGTGTGTAGTAGCTCTGGCTATCCTGGAACTGCTCTGTAGACCAGGCTGGCCTTGAACTCACAGAGATCTGCCTGCCTCTGTCTCCTGAGTGCTGGTATTAAAGGCATGTGCTGCCACCACCCAGCCAGAAAATAAATCTTAAAAAAATAAAATTAAAACTCTAAAAGTGTACCAGGAATGTAGCTCAGCTAACATGCACACAACCTTGGATTCCATCCTTGCATAAACCTGGCAAGACTGCAGAGGCCTGTCATGCTAGCACTTAGGAGACAGAGACAGGGAGATCAGGAGTTCAAAGGCATCCTTGGCTACTTTGTGAGTTTGAGGCCATCAGGCTACAAGAGACTCTACACGGTGATGGAGGGAAAGGTGACTAGGATGCCCTAACCAGAGAAGTAGGAAGATAAGCAGGAAGCATTCCTTATTAACTAGATAGGAGAGGGCTTCAAGAAAAAAGAAAGGATGGCCAGCAGCACCCAAATGCCAATGAGGAAGAAGAGGAAGGAGCTCAGAGACACTTGGAAGTGGGGCTTTTCTATCTATCCCTCCCTCACGATCCTTGCCCACCAGCAGCATCTTTCCCCAGCCCTCTGCTCTGACTCTGCTTCAGAAGCCAGGAGACAGATGTGGTGGCTGACACCTGTGAATCCTAGTACTCACAAGACTTGAGGCCAACCTGGACTGCTGTCTTACTTTTCTGTTTGTTGTGATAAAATATCTAGACAAAAGCACCTTCAGGAAAGTGGGAGTGTTCATGTCACTCCATCATGTCAAGGTAGTCACAGCAGCAGAGACTTCAGGGACACATTGTATTCATAATCTGAAGCAGAAAGCTAAGCTTTAGTGCCTTAGTCACTTTCTCTTGGAACAGTCCACCCACAGTGGGTCTTCCCACCTCCATTAAAGTAATCAAGAGAATCTACCAACCATGCCACAGGCCAAGACAGCTGAGGAATATGGATATCTGTGAACTTCAAGAGAATATGTGTGAGCCACAGGTACCCTGTGTATATTCGGTATGTCTGAGTGTGAAGGAGTACGTATGTACCCCAAGAGTATAAATCTGAGTTTGTGTTTATGTGTTGTATATGTGTTGATATTTATGAATGTATGTTCGTGTGTATATGTGAAACTACATGTACATGAATGTGTGTATGAATATGTATACATCAGAGTGTGTGTGTATGTGTGTGAAAGTCTGTGTAGGAATATGAATGAGGAGAACAAGTGTGGAGCTCACTCTGAGGCTGGGCCCTCTCTGCTTGTCAGACACTGGGTAGTCCCAGGCTACCTCATAAGTGCTCTTTCCCTGATCCAGCAGTAGTTCTGGAGCCCTCATCCTGCCTCTACTGCCTCTCCTGTATTCTCCCAATTCTGAGGCTGGCCCTGCCTAGAAATATCGTTCTGCCTCAGCACTTTGTGGTCACAGACCTGTCTAACCACAGACTTTGACACTTCAAGAGGTCCTGTAGCATCCCCCTCTGTCTCTCCCTCAGAAATTATTAACCCCTAGTTCAGCAATTTACAACTGCTTGCAAACCTTTAGGACTGGGGGTCCCCAGCCAACCTGGCTCTCACAGAAACCTATAACCTGGACTGAGAAGGGATTAAAGCACCTGCTATGCAAGTTTTGGAACTGGTGTTCCGATCACCAGAACCCACATAAATGCCAATGCAGGGAGTCTGCCTGTACTTCCAGCTCACAAGATCTGGGTTTGATTGACAGACCCTGCCTCAATGAATAAGGATGATTCCTGATGTCAACCTCAGGTCTCCATATGCAGGGGTGGTGGAGAGGGAGAGAGGGGGGTGCTCTGCCTCCAAATAGAGTTGGGGAGCACTCGGGGATGGAGATAGACCCTGGATCCCTGGTCCTGTGGGGAGCCAGGTTCCTGAGGACAGATGATTCTGAGATCCTCACAAAATGAAATGAGATCTGTGAAACCCCAAGCCCCACCCACAATAGAGCATTAGTTGAGAAAAGCCCAGAACTAAGCTCATGACTAGGGAGAAATGCAGCTGACCTGGATCCCAGGAGTTCATTGGAGACTATGGGAGGGTGCTCAGTGCAGATGGGTGACCAGTGTTCTTATCTCACACTCTCTCTGTTCCCCACTGCCTAAGGAATCAGATGTGCCTCTGCAAAGACCGTGTGGGGCCCTTTCTGTGGTCACGAGTCAAAACTGGGTCAGGTTGGGTTCAGAACACAAAGCAGACATGAGATAGAGCACAGGAGGATGTGGGCAGGCATGAAGGTACCATGCTCTGTAACCAGGCTGGAGCAGAGATTTCTTCCTGCCTCCACAGCCCCAGGATTCTCCTTGTTCTCAGACCCTGCAACCTGGCTGGCCTCACCAAGAAGAAATAAATACAACCAGGCAAGAGGAACATGTTTCCCAGCCTCTGCTTTCCCTCCTTTTCCTTTTTTATTTTTAATCTGTGTGCCATATATATCTCAGTGTGTGTTTATATGTGTGCGTGAGAGAGTACAAGTACACATGTACCATGTTGTGCATTTGGAGGTCTTAAAGAATGTCTTGCATGTCAGGGTCTCCTATTGGTGCCCACTGTGTACAGCAAGCTAGCTGGCCCAAAAGTTTCTAGGGATTCTCCTTAGTCCACCTGCCGTCTCACTGTAAGAGGGCTGAGATCACAAAAGTGTATTGATACTATGTCAGCTTTAGGCAGATTGTAGGCATCCAAACTTATGCCTTCATTGGTATGTGTTTTATTCACTAAGTCATTTCTTCAGACAGTTCCAAAGCATTTTTGGACCCAGAAATGCCAACTCTGCCCCCAGTCCCCTTCATGCCATAGCAGACCCTAGTAACTTCCACTCTCAGCAAGACCTCCAGCCATGGTCCCAGGATGTGCTTGGTTCATAGCCACCCTTTGAGACTGGTCTTTTGGTTTTTAATGGAGTCTAGTCTCTAGAGACCAGAGAATCTCACTAACTGGCTAAAGTCACACAGCTCATTGACTGAGAGCCAAGCTTCAAACACATGGCTTTATATGAGTCTACAACTTTTTTTGCTTTATTTTTGACAGTGTGTAGTATGTGGGTGAGTGTGCATGTGGAGGCCAGTGGACACCCACAGCTGCTGTTCTTTAGATACCATCCACTTGCTTTATATCTATTTTTAGAGTTTAATTTTGTATGTATATGTGTATCTGTGTGAATGTACACCATGTATTTGCCTGCCCTTCAAGGCCAGAAGGAGGAGTCAAATCCCTTGGAGCTGGAGTTACAGGCAAATGTGAACCATCTGATGTGGGTGCTGGGAACCTTCAGCCCCACTATGTATCCACTTAGGGCACTGATTCCTGGCACTTTGATGTGGCCTTGGCTTCCCAGCCAAGGGGACATTATTGTTCCAGGCATTGACAACACAAGACAATTAACAGTGGAGAGTAACTGCTTCATGTGAGCCAGCAGCACACTCTTCTTGATGAGACAGGATAGGTCAAATGCCACCATGAGGCTGCCAGAGCAAGCCACTGCAGAGGACAGAACACAGTCAGAGAAGGTCACCAGAAAAGGGACTTCTGTACCCCTGAAGTTTTACATAGAATCCTTAAGACCTCCAGTGACAGGAAGCCTCTGGCCCAGGCCCTGCTACTGGCTGAGCTTTGGCTGTTGGTTAGATTGCAGCACATAGAGTCTGTGGTACAACTGGAAGTGGACCAGAAGCGGGAAGTCTGGGATGATGGAGTGTTCTCGGGTTGAGCAGGCAGACTCTGCTGGCCCAGAGCTGACAGTCCACGGTGGGCATCCACCCAGTGCTAACTACATGTATCTCCAACCCCAGACAGAGCTGTAACCTGGCTTACCCTCCTGGCTGATGAGCCTGCCCACCATGGCGAGCCCCACTCTGAGCCCCGACTCCTCATCTCAGGAGGCACTGTCAGCACCCACCTGCTCCCCAACCTCTGACTCTGAGAACCTCAGCCCAGATGAGCTAGAGCTACTGGCCAAGCTTGAAGAGCAGAACAGGTGAGGGGGGGGGAAGGCTGATTCCTGGCTTCCCAGAAACCTTCCTACTCAAAGATGGACCTGGGCTACACAGAGTTACAGCTACCAGAGGATGCTTAAAGAATGGGCTTCTCTTTCATTCTCCCAGACTGGGCTGGATAAATTGGTTCCCTCATTCACAAGAGGAAACCTACATTTCCAAAGGTCAAATGAATGTGGCTGCCACTTACAATGCCATTTTTGAAGGAAGAGGTGAAAGCTCCCACCTGACCCTGTCTTATTTTGTTTTGTTTGGGGGGGAGGCTTTGATTTTTTTTTGTCTGTTTGTAGGATTCCCTCACTGGGGGATTCAAAGTAGGACTTGCTGAGCCATACTCCCAGACCCTCAGTGGAGGACTCTAGGGGCAGGCTATACCACAGAATCATGCCAGCAACACCTCACTGAGGTATTCTAGGCAGGGACTCTGCTGCTGAGCTACAACCCTGGACTCGTAACATTACTCAGGAAAGAAGTAAATCCAGCAGATCAGGAGACACTAGCCACAAAAAGGTACTTTATTACTTACAGTTCCAAAAGGAGAGGAAACAACCTGTCAGTCAGGAGGCAGACCAGAGCCTGAGGAAAAATGCTGGCAAGAACCCTTGTGTTGGTTTCTATGAGCAGGCAAGCATACCAATCACTGACTTGAAGCATTTCAGTTAGCTCCAGCTAAAGGTCTGTCCCTGGATGCTAGGCACTCAACCCTGGGGTGATATTAACAGATGGATAGTGAGCAGAGTGTAAAAGCTTGATGGAGGAAGTGGTTAGGGTGTGGGTGCTAGATTGGGCGATTTGCATATGAAAGTTCACTCACTGGCAGGTGGGCCTTTCCTATTTTTAATAACTGCCTAGCCCTAGGAGGGACCATCTCAGTCCCTCCAACTACCCAGTGTCTATAAAGCTGTCAAAAGTGTCATAAAAGGTCCTAGCACCCCAGCACATGGAGGGCAACAGCAGAAGGATCAAAAGGTTGAGGCCAGTCTGGACTTTGTAACCAGATTCTATTTTAAAATAAAGGACTAGAGTTATCAATGGTAGAACACTCACCAAGAATGTACAGGTCTATAAATTCCATTCCCATTTCAAAAAATAATGGAGGGAGGGAGGCTAGAGATATGGCTTAGTGGTTAAAAGCCTAGCTAGTTGCTCTTCCGGAAGACCTGGGTTCAATTCCCGATATCTTCATGGTGGCTCATAGCTATTTGTTAACTCCAGTTCCAGAGAATTAGATTCCCTATTCTGATCTTTGGTTACTAAGCACATAATGGTTTACAGGCATGAAGGCAAAACAAAATGAGTATTTAAAATAAGAATTATTCCAGGTATTGTGGTACACACCTTTAATCCCAGCACTCAGGAGGCAGAGGCAGGTGGGTCTCTGAGTTTGAGGCCAACCTGACCTACACAGTTAGTTCCAGTACAGACAGGAATACACAGAAAAATCCTGTCTTGAAAAACCAAAATATAATAAGGAGAAAGAGGAATAGAAGAAGAGAAGAAGACTTATTTTTTAATAAAAAGGAAGGAAGGTTGGTTTTATTTGTAAAGTCCTTGAATATAATCCCAAGAATCCACATTAAAAACTAGTCACACCAAGCATTTAATCTCAGCTCTCAGGAGGCAGAGGCAAATGGATATCTGTGAGTTGAGGACAGCCTAGTCTACATAGGGAGCTCCAGGACACACAGTGAGACTCTGTCAAAAAAAAAAAAAAAAAAAAAGTAGTCATGCTAAAAATTACATATTTGTAATTCCAGCCACAGGGAGGTAGGGACAGGCTCATTGACCAGCCACCCTCACATAATTGTGGAGATGCAAGTTCATGAGAGACCCTGTCTCAAAAAATAATACAGACTCCTGAACAATATCCAAGGTTGACCTTCAGCCTCCATGAGCATGTGAACATCCATGCACAGGCACATACATATGCATATGAAGAAAGAAAAGGTAAAAAGGAAGGAGAGAGAAGAGAGAGAGAGAGAGAGAGAGAGAGAGAGAGAGAGAGAGATGGCTAATACAACCCCACAGTGTCCTCAGTACTCTATAATTGCCCTCAGGCAGAACTTGCACTCTGAGCCCCTCTATAAAGTGTAGACCATCCCTAAATCTGCTGGGCAGAGTTAGTCTGAGAATGAGATGACAGAAACACACTTGGCACAATGCCTGGAACAGAAGAGGAATACACCAATGACTTTCCAAGGGCCAGTAGATGAGGGTCATGGCTCAGGCAGGTTAGGTCACTGGTCAATGTCACTTAGCAAGAAAGGCAGCATGGGGGCTGGAGAGATGGCTCAGCAGTCAAGAGCACTTGCTGCTCTCTCAGAGGGTCCAAATTCAGTTCTGAATACCCACATTGGGTGGGTCACAACCACTGTAGCTCCAGGAGGTCCAATGCTCTCGTTTGGCCTCCACATGCTCATATACACACATCACATACACATATAGAGATAAACATTTTTAAAGAATGGAAGGCAATGAGGATCCAGTCTAAGAGGTCAGGCACTCCAAAGGGCCCTGTGTCCAGGACTCACTGGAATTTTCTGGCCTCCTCTCTCCCACCCTTCCTGCCCAGGCTCCTGGAAGCCGACTCCAAGTCCATGCGCTCCATGAATGGCTCCCGGAGGAATAGCGGCTCCTCACTAGTATCCAGCTCCTCAGCCTCCTCTAACCTGAGCCACCTGGAGGAGGACACGTGGATTCTCTGGGGCCGCATTGCCAACGAGTGGGAAGAGTGGCGGCGCAGGAAGGAGAAGCTACTCAAGGTGGCCTGAGGCAGATGTGGGATGAGCGTGAGTCTGGCCAGCCTGGTCCTTTATCCACCAGGCAGGGCCAGGTAGCCCAGCACAGGCAAAAGGGCCAAATCTGAGATGTACAGATGGGACACAGGGACAGGAGAGAGGGGATAGGATGGGGAAGATCCTTGTGTCTGCTTGCTTTCTGCTCTAGTGTGATGGTGAATACCTATGACCCCTGCACTCAGGACGAAGGCAAGAGGCTTGCAAGTTGAAGGCCAGTGAAAGTTTGTGTCAAAAAGCCAATGGCTTAAAAAGAATGTGAGGGGGCCCAGCGGTGGTAGCACACGCCTTTAAACCCAGCACTCGGGAGGCAGAGGCAGGCGGATCTCTGTGAGTTCGAGAGGTCAACCTGGTCTACAAAGCTACACAGAGAAACCCATTCTCGAAAAAAAGAAAGAAAAAAAAAAGTATGTGAGGGCTGGGGAACTACCTCTGTCTCTAAAGTGCTTGCTGTATAAGCTTGAAAACCTCAAGTCCATTCCCAGCACCTGTAAAAAGATGAGCATGCTGGCACATGCTTGTAATCCCAGCACTAGGGAGGCAGATCCCTAGAGCTCCCTGCCCAGTCAGCCTAGCCCAATGGGCAAGGGCCAGCCTAGTAAAAGACCCTGTCTCAAAATACACTATGGACAGCTCAGCAGGTAAAGGCACTTGCTCTCAAAATTAACAATCTGAGCTTTATCCTCAGGTCCTATATGGTAGGAAGGAATTAATTCCTTCAAATGTAGATGCAAGTTGTTTTATGACCTCCACATGTGAACTGTGGTATACACTACCTACACACACACACACACACAACGAATAATAAATAGATGCAATTGAAACTGTAACAATAAAACAAGAACCAAGGCAGATACCTCTGGGAAATGACAACTGAGACTGACCTCTGACCTCCTGTGCATGAGCACATGCACATATGAATATGCACACACACACAGAAGCTAGGCATGAGAATTGGGTTTGTAGCTTAGTGATAGAGGAGTCACTTTAGGATGGGGGAGCCCAGTAAGCACCATGACTAGTGACTAGATGTCTCCTGTACCATCCTAAACACATGGATTGGGTTGGCTTTGGGAAGGCTGCAGTACACCGGGCAAAGTCCAGCCCTGGCCTCCCTCTCCCCTATTTCACCCCTCCACATAACAGGAGCTGATTCGAAAGGGCATCCCACATCACTTCCGGGCCATCGTTTGGCAGCTCCTGTGCAGTGCCACAGATATGCCTGTCAAGAACCAGTACTCAGAGCTACTCAAGATGTCCTCACCATGCGAGAAGCTAATCCGCAGGGACATTGCCCGCACCTACCCAGAGCATGAGTTCTTCAAAGGCCAGGACAGCCTGGGCCAGGAAGTCCTCTTCAATGTCATGAAGGTAAGGCCCAAGCATTGGTTCTAGCCACCTTTGCAACAATCCCCACTTGAGATGACTCTGTGGGGGCTAGTGGGAACTCTGTCTTCATCCATCCTCCTTCCCTTCCAGGCATACTCCCTGGTTGATCGGGAGGTGGGCTACTGCCAGGGCAGTGCCTTCATTGTGGGCTTACTTCTCATGCAGGTAAGTGCCCACCCTGGGGTTCATCTCCAAGAGATGGGCACAAGAGCATTCCCTATATCCAATGGCCTCCTAGGGCCAGAGCCTTCCTCAGCAGCCAGCTCACTGTGACCTCTGACAAAGGCCAGGCTAAGCCCCCAATGAAAAGATATAGAGGGGCTAGGCATTTGTGATACCTGGGTCCTGATACTGTACTATCCAGGACAGGGACAGGGCTTAAGGGGCAGTTAGACAGGCAAGAACTATGGGTCAAGGATTTGGGTGTTTATGGGGGGCTTGGAGACTCCTCCAGAGAAATCAGAAGGCATAGGACAAGGAGGAGACAACTAGGAGTGAATGGGGATGTCCCAGCCAGGTAGATGAGACTAGGGTATTAGCAAGGTTTAGGTACAGCTTCATTGTTTCCTGTCAGTGACCCTCAGCAAATAACATCAGCCATGGATTTTCCATCAGTAAACAATACTGACCATATTTATGGTTTATTGGATGGGTCCCAGTAGCCAGGTACAGTTACAATAGATACAAATGGGACAGAAACTGGTCCCTGTGTACCATGACACAGTTCAGAGTCTAAGCATGCCCTTCCCATCCTTCTGTCACTCAACACACACACACACACACACACTGCTGGTCCCTCCAGATGCCTGAGGAGGAGGCCTTCTGTGTGTTCGTGCGGCTGATGCAGGAGTACCGGCTTCGGGAGCTCTTCAAGCCCAGTATGGCTGAGCTGGGCCTCTGCATCTACCAGTTTGAGTACATGCTACAGGTAAGCAGGCCAAGGATGGCTACCCTGAAGCTATCCCAGAAAGCCCCCAAACTGGAAATTCTAGGCCTGAGAAATCACCCTTGGGAGGTGGAAATGTGTCTTGCTTAGTAGGATACTTGCCTAACATGCATAAAGCCCTGGGTTCCATCCCCAGCACTTCATAAACTGGGCATGGAGTCCACATCTGTCATCCTTGAACTTGGGAGGTTGAGGCAGGAGGATCAGAAATTCAAGGTCAGTCTCAACTACATAGGAAGTTCACAGTCAGCCTGAGCTACATAAGACCCTGTCTGAAAGAAAAAGGGAGTGGGGGGGGGAGGTGGCAGAGGTAACATGCCTGGAGCCTGGCAAGGCGATATATACCCATGATCCATGTGCTTGTGTTTATGAGACAAGATAACAAGTTCGTGGTTACCCTCGGCTACTTAGTGAGGTTCTGACTCAAAATCTAAGAGCTGGGAGGTTGGAGCATGGGTCAATGGTAGAGAACTTGTTTGGCATGTCTAAGTAGTCCTGGGTTCAATCCCTAATTCTGTGGAGGAGGAGAAGGAAGAAGTGAAGGGAAATGGAAAGAGAGAGAAGGAAGAACAGAAGGAAGGGGGAGGACGAGAGGCAGGCCCAGAAAGGGACTCCTGTCCTGTCCTGTTCCCCAGAGATGACAGAACACAACCCTGGAGCATGCTGGGAGGGACCTGGCCGGGAAAGGGGCCCCTTGACTCCTAAAGTGGCTCCCAGAGCCACTAAAGCAGAATGGGAGGAGGGCTGGCTCCTTGTGCTAAGGGTGTCGTGGAAGGAGGAAAAAGTGTTGTCTGCCTGCCTCTGCTGATTACAGGGAAGCTGCAGACGTATGTCTCCATTTATAAATAGCAGGTCTCACTCCTGGCTGACAGACAGAACTGAAGTGTTTATGCTGCACACACACGCATGCACACACCATCCTTACACTCTTATACACACTGGCCAGCTCCAGAAGCCCATGGTGAGAGAACTGTGCCCTCAGTGAGTTATCAGTGAAGCTGTTTCAGGGTCTAAGGACAGGGTGGGAGAACTCCGTAGGAGCTGATAGTTTCACAAACAGGCCAGGCACCTACAAAAATAAATGCAGAGGGCTAAGACAGCATGCTTGCCTAGCATTTGTGAGGCTCTAGGTTTGATCCCCAATATCCTTCCCTAACCCCCCCCAAAGAAACTTCATGGCTGGGTATGGTAGTTCATGAATCTTTTTTTTTTTTTTCCATTTTTGAGACAGGGTTTCTCTGTAGGCTATCCTGAAATGCACTTTTTCAACCAGGCTAGCTTTGAACTCACAGAAATCCACTTTCCTCTGCCTCCCCAGTGCTGGGATAAAAGACAAAAAAAATAGGTAGAAACAGCTGGACATGGTAATGCATACCTTTAATCCCAGCACTTGAGAGGCAGAGGCAGCCAGACCCCTGTGAATTCATTAGCCAGCCTGATCTATGTAGCAAGTTCCAGGACATTCAGGGCCCTATTGTGAGAGGCTGTGTCAAAGAAGGTAGCAGTATCAACCTCTGGCCTACACAAACACCCCTACACATGCACATACATATGAACAGATGCACACTTCCTCCACATACCCACAAATAGAAAATAATTTGATTCCCAGAATCTACCCCCTCAAAGTTAAGTGATTACCCCGGGCTGGAAGGCCTAAGACCTTCACAGCCTAAGATTTAAAAGCCCAGCAGATGTGTAATCTCTAGTACAGAGACTCCCTGGCTAAAGGAGGAAGCCCAGGGCTCTGACACCCTCCCCAGCCCTGGTTTCCCCAATGGTCTGCAACTATCTAGCAGCAAGTCAATCACACTTTAACAGGCATTTCCTCAAGATGTCACTCAAAGTTCCAGTATGCCTCAGCTTCCCCCAAACACAGTAGTCAAAAGAGGACCTAAGGGAGACCTAGGTTGCCCAGGGTGGGTCAGCAAATGCTCCCTGGAGGTGAGAGACACTGGGGCTCAATACCTCCCTCTCCATGCCCACCAGCCTCCCCCTCCCCACACAGGAGCAGCTTCCGGACCTGAACACCCACTTCCGATCACAGAGCTTCCACACATCTATGTATGCGTCCTCCTGGTTCCTCACACTTTTCCTTACCACCTTCCCCCTGCCTGTTGCCACCCGGGTCTTTGACATCTTTATGTATGAGGTGAGTGCCCCATAGGGCATCCCTGTCCACTCCACTCTGCATGTGGAGGGAGTGACATCCCACCCCAAGAAAGAATCATGACCAACCAACTGGACAAAGGACAGGCTAGGTTATCCTCTGGGGAGGACAGGAAGCTCACTGGTAGGGGGACAGGGGGTTCACTGATGGGAGGACAGGGACCTTTGGGGGGAGGATGGAAGGCTCATGGGGCTATGATTGCTTTTGCAGGGACTGGAGATCGTATTTCGAGTTGGCCTGGCTCTGCTGCAAGTGAACCAGACAGAGCTGATGCAACTGGACATGGAGGGCATGTCCCAGGTGAGTCAGGATGGCTGGGCAGGTGAGGCTGTCTCTACTGAAGGTGACAGGCACAGGAAACCTTCCCCTATGACAAGAAGGGAGCTAGAGATGTGGCTAGTTGATTGAGTGCTTGCCTAGCATGCATGTCGCCCTGAGTCCCATCTCTAGCCCCACATAAACAGGCACAGAGATACATGGCTTCAGTTCCAACACTGAGAAGGTGGAGGCAGGTGGACCAGAAGTTCAAGGCTAACCTGAGTTGAACAAGATTCTAAGTTGTGAGGGCCTGGCTTCCCAATGGAAGTCATTCCTGAGCATCTGGGATCATTTCTGCTTTCCCCTGAGGCCTTCCTGAGGAACCCCAGACTCTGTCAAATACAGCCCAGAGCCACCAAACAAACTAGCACTGGGGAGAAAGGGAGGCCCACACTCAACTGATAGGGAG